TATATATATATATATATATATATATATATATATGAGATTTTTTTTGTTTGTTTGTTTAGTGGATATCAAATATCGAATATAATATATGTTATGAATATTTCATTCCAATGATCAACAAATTTTGCATGACCACATTTTACTCATGATGGCTAGTATGCTAAAGAAACAGGAAAATTTCTTATTTGGTGGTCTAACAACAAATTATTTTCTTATTTTGAGGTGTCTGAACGCCAAGAAAAGATTGTCATCAAGATATGAGGCCTTGTTGGATTTTGATGAGCCTTGTTTGGCAATATTTGCTGCCTGCAGAAGGTTTTGAAGTCTTGCTTGATGTCTCTTATATCATTCAGTCATTTGATATTTTATTTGTTATTTTGACATTAGTATTGTACTGTTATTCTTGAATTTGATATTAGTATTCCATTGGATACTTTGAGGTCTAAGGCCTACTAAATCAGTGTTATAGACTTTGTTCGGATAAATATACCTATAAGTACTTATAAGAAAAGAAAATAAAAAAGTAAAATATGGAGTTTTTCTCATAATCAATTTATACATGCACTTAAATTTTATAAATTTTCTTTCATCTAATTTCTTTAAATGTATATAAGTTGATTTTAGTTTTTGAAAAAAAATTGTTTTTTTTTCTCTTATAAATTCTTATAGGGAAATTTATTCAAATATAACCTAGCCTAATACTTATTATATTGTTATATCATTGTTGACTCGTTGGATTATATTAATAGGCCTACTAAATTTGTGATATTTGATATTGGATTAGGCATATGATATATACACTTTTTTTTTTTAATAAGTACATCTCTTTTAAAAAAAATGGATAAATTTATTTTTTTATTTTTATTTTTTTATTTTTAATTTTATACCCCAACATTTAATTTAACACTTTTTTCTTATTTTCAACACACTTCTTTTTCTTTTTCTTTCTTTTTTATATACATCTCCTTACCTTTTCGTCATTCCTTACCTTTTTGTCTATTTTAATAGGTAGTTTTAATTCTTTCGATTACTTTCTTCCTCCTTCTCTTTCAGTTTTCACACTATTACCCTCTCGCCTCTCTTTTAGTTTTACATGGACTTGGGACATAGAACTAGTTTTCAATAGTCTTATAGGCACGTGTGACTTCCTCGACAGTGTTAAAGGTGCAAAGTTAAATGTGTATTTTTTCTTCGAACATTTTCCCCATTTACACATCTAGAAAGTACAATATTAAATTTTAGTATTTTCTGGAATTGTATTTTTAGCATACTTCTAGAAAATATTTTTTGAAATACTAAATTTATTGTTTTGGAAAGTATTTTTTGAAATACTAAATATGCAGTTCTAGAAAGAACTTTTCATAATTATGTAAAATAATACACTTTCAAAATTACTTTTCAGAACATTAATTTTACTATTCTGGAAAATACTATGAAACAGTGGAATTAGTGTTTTGGAATATCTTTCCCATAATAATAAATTTAATGTTAAGGTTTTTGGAGGTGTAAAAGGGGAGAAAGTGTTGAAAGAAAAAAATATGCGTCTAATTCAACAAAAACTATGAGGAAGTCGTACGTGCTTACAACACTTTCACATACTAGTTTTATAGTTTAGGTGCATGTAAAAAGTGAAAGAGATGAATGAAAAGAAAGTAATGTGAAAATCAAGAGAACTAAAATTACTGAAATAAATGAGAAACAAAAGGAAGACATAAAAGTGCATGTAAAAATTAAAAGGAAAAATGAAAGAGGTATGTGAAAAAAAACAATTTTAAATTAAAAGTTGGAGATATCAAATTAAAAAATTAAAAAAAGACTAAGAATATTTTATATTTAAAAAATAATAATAAAGAAGTTGTACATGTAAAAGAAAGGAAGGGTGTATATCATAAGAGTATATGGTTTACACTAATGTTGACCATTATTGTCACCGCTACATAGTTGTTAACTTGTCTGATGATTTGAGGCCCGAGCCCAATTTAACTTGTGTAATAATAGTGATAATTAATGGGCTATATGAAAATGATATAGCCCATTAATTATTATCGTTTCTGGCAACATTCTAGTTGGTGTTCTACAGTTCAAATCTATGTGTGCAGACTGATAAATGCACATGCTTCCTTTTGCATCATAAATGGCGAAAAGTAAGTGACCTTTCCCACAGTTCCAAGTGATAAGAATCAAATAGTTCTTAAGTTTGTGATTCACACTTGAGATTATTATATATATTGTTAGTCAAACACCCATAATTCTTCTAATGGGATTTGTTCCATTCATCAGTAACTTTCTTAATTTATAAAATAAACCACTTGTCGAATGATTCTTGAATAAATCTAACATTAAATCTCTATAATTGAATGGTAAGAAATAATGCAGTTAATCAACGGAACAAAATAAAAGAAGAAAGAAAGGTCTTTTAAATTAACTCTGGTGCATGAATATGACAAAAAAGAGCCTAATCTATCGTTTTTGGAAATTGAAGGCCATGATTGAGACAGCAAAAATAAAAACAAATAACACGGAAAACCCAGAAACCATAATTGCAGAAACTCCTATGAAGTCATGCTTGATACCAAAATAACTTGTTATGAATTCTTGCACTGGCATATTCTCTGATTTCATCACACTGGTTATATCTCCAAACTGGGAGGCAACCAACCCGTATATGGTCCATGCCACAGGACATGCCCAATAGTACCACCTCCACCACACAGGAATCCTCTATATTATCAAAAAGGTAACAAAATGGAAAATAAAAGTGAGGATCAACATAAGCACATCCATTGAATCCATTCAAAGATATAATTCATTCAGAGTTTGACATTACTTACAGGTCTTGTAATCACAAATCCTGAAAAGAGGTTCCAAATTCCATAAAATGCAGCAGCCACAATTGAAGCAACATGGTGATTTGGTGTAAGTGCCACAGTCATCATGCCATAGAAGGTGTAGTAGCACAATGAGAAGTACATGAAAAACATGTACCAAAAGAACTTCTCCAAATTCCAGTCAAATCCCATCATGGCATAAACTATGACAGAATATGATGTAGCTTGCACAAAAACATAAGGTAGCTCTATTATAACCTATGACAAAAGGGAGTGAGGGGTGTTAAAATTAGTATGCAAATTATAGTACAATTATAAAAAATAAAAAAAAAGGTGATCTTATTACTTGTGCAATAGCATAAGGCAAGGCAGAATACATTCCAGCAGCTCTTTCTCTATAAAAGACAGTTCTTTCAATGCCTACTACTGGTTGTACGGAGGTAGAATTTTGGACCCCAATGAAGAGAATAGCATTATACATTGAACCTATAGCATTAAATAGGTCTTGCCTGCTTGAGCTGGAAGCCAACAAAAGGAATCAAAATTCAAAGAGAAAAACAAAAGATGACTAATTTTAATTTATGATTTATGTATTATTGAATTTTGACTTACTATTTGCCTCCAAGTCCCCAGAACATTGTTCCAAACATCAAGGCAATTACAATAGTTGAAAGAAATCTCACAGCAGTGTATGGCGGATTACGCCAATATGACCAATGTTGTTTCCATAAGCAAGCTAGGCATTGGACCAAAAGTGACTGAGAATATTGAGTAGGAAAACTAAGATCTTTTGAACCAGGATTGGGGTTGCCTAGTTCTGCTATGAGTTGCTTGTTTCTCCTGAAGAATAATCAATAGTGCATAAATAGTCCAAGCCTTTGTCCAATAAAAATCCATACCTATACATGTGTATACGTGTAGTGTAGTAAATATAAATCCATAACCATACATATTAGCATACCTATACAGCTCAGAAGTCTTGTATATCTCACGAAAATCAACACCTAAAGTAAGTTCCTGTGCAGAACTTGTGACTTCCAACATCCAAGTTGCTGGGTTGTAACCATCTTTGATTTTACTAACCCCTTCAATGCTCTGGCCAATACAGAAGAATGAAAAGAATGAACACTAGCAAAATCATGGCTATCTACATTAAATGATATTGAATTTAAGTTGCACCTAACCTCAAAATACTTTATCAATTGATTAGAATGACGTCCCAATGGCCCAACATATATTTCTTGTCCTCCACGCTTCATTAGGAATAACTAAAATCACATGGAGCATATATTAGATTCAATTCTAAAACACATCTTCAAATATCTTATCATACCATCTCTCACCTCATCAAAAGCTTCAAATATGTCAATGCTTGGCTGATGGATGGTGCAAACAACTGTTCTTCCCGTGTCAACTGTGTTCCTAACAGTTCTCATAACAATGGCAGCAGCTCTGGCATCTAACCCAGAAGTAGGCTCATCCATGAAAATTATGGACGGATTAGCCACTAATTCAACCGCTATTGTTAGCCTCTTGCGTTGTTCTGTTGAAAGACCATTCACACCAGGCAAACCAACCAGTGAGTTCCTTAGTGGCTTCAATTCCACAAGTTCCATGACTTCCTCAATGAACATCTACAACCATATTTTATATCCAAAAGTGACAAAAATTAGTGCATGTTTGTTTGCGCATTAGTTACATTTGTTTAAGTTAAATTTCACGTCAAAACACAAGAGGTTGTTGTGCTTTGACTCTTAAGTTGTAGGTGCTAACCTTTCTAGTGTTGGATTCAACTTCTGTTGGTAAACGAAGCCATGCAGAGTAAACCAAGGACTCATAGACAGTAACATGAGGAGAGTGGATATCATTTTGCTCACAATAGCCAGAAATACGAGCAAATGTTTCTTGCTTTTTAGGGTAGCCAGAAACTTTTATGTTTCCCTCAATATACCCACCAGTTTTCCTTCCAGCTAAAACATCCATCAATGTGGTTTTACCAGCACCACTTACACCCATCAAGGCTGTGAGAACACCAGGCCTAAATGCACCACTAACACCTTTCAAAAGCACCAACTTGTCCTCCCTTACACCTTGATCCTTCATTTCCTACCAATCCCAAGAATCATATTTTAATTTTTTCTCTGGACAAAGGTAAATTAAGCTAAAATCACTATTATAAAATCAAAATGTTATTTATAACTTTGAAGCTACTTACCCGTGGCATATCAACAGAGTATACTATTTGATCAAATGTGATAGAATATGGTTCAAAAGGAAGAACCATTCCTCTCGTTTTTTTATGACTAAAACTCACAACACCAATAGCTCTTCCAGAACTTTCTACATCACAGTGGAAAAATAGTTCAGCACATGCCTAAAATTGAAAATAGTATGCATGCATCGAGTGTCAATTAGAGATATAAATAATATAGATCACCTAAGCGTGTTAATTCATCTTCTTGGGCTCTCCCATTAGGCATACTACCTTCTGATTCTTCAGTTATTGTTGTCTGTGGCTTATCAAATGCTGCAAAAATAATGTATACTTGCTAATCAAGTTTTACGTCACTAAAAGAATGTTAAATAACCAAATGGGAAATTACTC